AGCCGACCTCAATGGCGTTTGTGTACTACGTTCTTTTGGCTCATGCAATCCTGCTTAGCCTACTCCTCCAACTGCGATCTCATTGCCGATGCATATTGGTATATAGGCATATTGCTTGTTTCTTTCTTGTACCTTTTACTATTTGTATTTTCTATTTTCGTATATCGTATTGCGGCACACTAGATGGGCGTTTCTCACCCATCGCTAATGTGTAAAACAATGTGGATGCTGATGAAACGATTCCCACCAATGTGTACAGTGCGCTTTCGCATCCAATTGCAGTGCAGCTATCTTGAAAAGTAGACCGACCGACTACTCCCATTAAGCTGCTCGGTTGTCTTGTGTGGTGTATCGTTCCACTCTGACAATAGTGTTGCTTCTCCTTGCGAATGCGGACTTTATAACCCGAAGCGTACAGCTCTCTCCGCCAATTATACAGCATACACACCAATTATTCCATAGGCGTTTGTACAACATCTGGTTATGACCTCTACAAATCTGTGTCGCCCGCATGCTGTAGATTTATCAATCGGTCAGTGGGTGTAGCCTTCATTCAATCAGATGTATAGAGGAATTGAGTCATTCATGAGAGAAACATCCTAATCCTAGTGTCTTCAAGAGATCCTCATACATATCCGGAAGTCGCGGAGTGGAGTTTACTAAATGAGAATAAACATTTTTACATCTTTCAGCGGTATGCAGTACCATAGATATATGTAGCCGATGCATTCACAGGTGACCTTCAAACTAGGGAAGATCGCTACGGTAGGCCGTCTTGGTCTCTGTATCATCACCATCGTCATCAGCGATGCCCCAGTAATGTGCACATATTCTTCGCTGATGTACGGTCATGGGAAACTAAAGAAATAGAGTGGATGAGAAGCGAGACGTAAGCGGAAAGCTTAAATGTGCTAATAAACCACCACTCATTGGTAAACTCCCTACATCTTGTCAACGACACACGGTCATAAAGGTCTGACAATCATGTAAAGCTGAAGCCGCATTAGTGAAGAGTTTCCTTGTGGCTTTCACTACCCTGCCTTACTCCATAGACGTGTTGCAAACAGGCAGCAAGGCTAGACTATGGCAGTAAACACGCTATCGTTGCGGCTTACGAGCCATACCGGTAGCCAAAGGGATAATATATCTGCTTGATATATATATATATATATATATATATATAATGTTACATTCATGATGCTTCTTCACCGCAGTTAGGCTAAACCAACTTACACTTAAACTAGGTCTTTTTAATGTGGATAAAATTCGTTACATTTTATTTGGTTTGTTCTGCGCACTTGATAATCTTCTCCCAACTTGCACACGTCGCTCATGGAAATTGTGGTAAACTTGCGTAATTGTATCGCGTGGTATTTTTTGAATAACTCGGACATTTTGTACCTATCACGGATTCACTTATAACGAATTTCTTCTATGTGCTCATTTAGCGAGTATTTATGTCGTCATATGCGTTTACTTTGTTCGATATCGGCATTTTGAGTGATTGGCTGTTGTTTGACATCCTAGGTGTGGCTGCGCTTGATGTGCATGTTGACAAGATGCCTACCTGTCTATTACCCACTACCTCGTCCATACTGGCTACAGGAGACAGTTGGTCATTGCTGGAGGGGACGGGGTGCACGCTCCTTGTGGCGGTGTTAGGATCAAAGAGTGGTTCCATGCACTCAATGTGGAGCGGACTACGGTCCAGCCACCGCCTTGTGTGCACTTGATTCCCCAAATACAGCGTGCTTACGTTTGCCTGTGAAGGAGTGTGGGCCGGCTCCGTTGGTGAAACGTGGCTCCCATCCGCATGCCTCCCGGTCTTATTTCTTCGAGTTTACACTGGATATGGGGTGTGTGGGTGGTGCAGCGCAAGCCATCCATGGTCCCTCTGTAGGCACAGGCGTCCTGTGGCTGGCCACAGTGACAGGCAAATCCGAAACCGGATGCCGCCAAAGATATATATATATATATGTATGTATATATATTAATCAACAGTCTATATGATAGACATAGAGCCGTCGAAACCATGAAATGGAAGTAATAAATACAGCACACACATTATACACGTTAGCTAGAGGTGGAAAACATTAGCTACTGTGCCGCAATACATAAAAGAAAAAAGGGAATAAAGTGCAACAGGTGCAAGCCAGCTGAGCTACCGGTAACGGATGAGCATCGTTCCGGTAAGCTATCTGCCGGCTACTATGCAGCAAAAAAGTAATTTTCTATGCAAAATTATCAGATGCTAAATAATGAGATCGTGGTTAGAATGAGAGGCTAAAAGGGATGGGGTGGGACAAAGAAACTCACAGCACGAACGCCACTGAGTTTAGCTCCTAGCCATATCAACAAGTCTATCAAGCCAAACGTGTTCATCGTCTTTCGGACCCCAACCAGGAAGCCGAGACACTCCAACTGAGGCCAGCTTCGAAGTGAGGGCCTTCAATCCTCTCGACCAAGTCATCGCTTGGCCACCTCTCATCTTCTTCCATTTACACCCCCGGCGCGCAAACAACACACGTCGCGGGAGTCGGTGGGCTGGCATTAATAATTAATAATTAATAAACACTAATAAATGCAGAGACCACATAGAAGCAGAAGAAAAGGATAAAGGTTACAAAAAACTTTGTTTTTGAATCTTGTTTGTCTCATTTAGTTTTTTCACACGCCCCTTTATCTTTCTTTGTCTTTTTTAATGTCTGCGTTGTAAATCATGAGTATCAAGACAAGTATTCGTACACATTTCCCATTGGGCCCGGTTCTGCGCCATCTCCGAAAGAGTTTTCAGCCAGCGATGTTTTTCATCTTTGATCCCCCAGCCCGAAAGACGCACGGGACCTACGACAGCTAAACTGGAAGTCAACGCTTTAATCCTTTGTCGCCACGTGATAGGCTAACCATTGCGCGGTTTCTTCCAGCCTGGTCTTGTACGAGCGAAGAGAGCTCGTCGGGGCAGCTGTTCGCATGGCATACTTAAAACGTAGGGCAGCCGTCACAGCTGGCGCAGCAGTAACAGTCGGTTAAGTGGAAGTCCCGTGTTGTCCACGACGCGACGTCTAACATCATCGTTGCGCACGTGGTTAATCCACCACACTCGAGCTATTCTCCGCAGACATCCATTGTCAAAGGCCGAAATCCGACGAAGTCATTCACAAGAACCGGCCAGGACTCACTCCCATAGAGCAGCACCGCGCGAACACAGGCATTGTAGACTCTGCCCTTTACCAATAATGCAAGGTCACGGCATTGCCACAGATACCTCAAGTCAGCGAATGCCGAACGGGCTTTAGCAATGCTGAGCGAAACCTCTTTTCCAATGCTACCATCAACAGAGACACAGCTTGCTAAATAAACAAAGTTGTCCACTTGTTCAATCTGCGTATCTTGAAAAGTGTACACTGGGATAGCTGGATGCCAATCCAGGACTAGGACTTTGCATTTCGTAGGGCCAAAGATCATGCCATATTTGGATACTTCAATCGCCAAGCGATTTAGAACGGCTTGTACGCACTGTGCGTCATCACCAAGCAAGGCAATATCATCAACATACACTAAATCGGTTACGTTGTTGTCAGGAAGAAGCTCCACACCAGAATCATGAAAGTCCTCGAAAGTGTTTAAAAGGAGATTCTTGGTCGTAAAATTGAAGAGAAGCGGGGACATGGGGCAACCCTGTCGAACTCCGTTAGTGACGGCAAAAAGTGAAGAGAGCTTGCCATAAGCCCTCACTTTACCTGAGACATTGCAATATAATGCTCGAAGGATGGCGATATATTTTCGGGTACTCCATTCCTTTGTAAGCAACCCCACAAAGATGGCCAATCGACAGAGTCGAAAGCGGCTCGGATGTCCAGAAAAACAACCATAATGGGATAGCGGTAAAGCTGACGCGTTTCAAATAGTTGGCGGAGCGTAAACAAGTGGTCTCTACCCCCCCTCGACCTGGGCGGAAACCAGCCTGTTCTTCACTGGAGCGCGATTCTCGAAGCTGGGTTAGTCTACGGAATAGAATGGATGTTGACATCTTGGAGGCAACGGACATTAAACTGATTCCTCGGTGGTTAGCGCATAGGGTACGGGCATCCTTTTTGACCATCGGGACGATAATTGACTCGCCCCAAGCGTATGGAACTGTTTCTTTACACCAGATCTTAGAGAACAGAGCTGTTAGCTGGTTGACAATTACTTCTCCACCGAACTTGAACAGCTCCGGAGGAAGTTCGTCTGGGTCGACAGACTTGAATCGCTTCAAGTGTCGGAGCTCAATGCAGACCTCAGCTTCCATGGGTGGTTCCAATGAGCCGTTCCAAAGCGCGCAACTAGGTATACTCATTAGGCTCGCTGGCGGAGGAGGCCAGCTGAATTGAGTGCGGAAGTGTTCAGCCCAGCGGTTCATCCGCCTGTGTAAGTTCGTGATCGGCGTTCCGTCAATCTCGCAAATGGCCTCACTGACACCAGGTCTTTTGTGACCAGTGGCCCGAAAGACCAGGAACAGCTTGCGAAACTTTCCAGAGAGGGCTGCCGTTTCCATCTCTGTGGTGCGCTGGGACCACCAAGTTTCGCGATCAGCTCGCAAGCTTTGCTTAATTTGTTGGCTGAGGGTGCGGTGCATTGCATTGCTGTTTGAATCGGACGGAACAGCTCTACGACGATCAAACAATTCCAGTGAGTGTGCGGAAATCCAGCCCCTCAGAGGGCGCCTTGTGATTCCGCAGGAAACTCCAATGATTTTCGATGTCTCGAGATGGGGTACTAATGCGACAAAGAAGCTTGATAAGCTGATCGAATAGAGGGGTCAGGTAACCTGTTGGTGTCAAGCGTATGATACTTTCGTTTCGGACAACCGCCGAAGCGCATGCAGATCTCCGCGCAAACCAAAGCATGATCTGAATTGAGGTACATAGACCAAATCGATGTACAATCCCGGACGCTACCTCGCCATCTAAAGCTGATGCAATATGATCTATTTGTGATCACGCTAGCGTTGGTGAAGGAAGACGCCAGGTGGCTGCACCTCTTCTGGTATGTCTGAAGTTCGTACTTGAGAGAAACAGACGATGGTCTTCGTATAACATGAGAAGTCTATCACCGTTGTCAGAACGACTCTCATCAAGCGCGTGACTGCCACTAAGATGACGTTTGCGCGGAAGCAGGCGACCTACTCATGCATTGAGATCTCCGACAAGGACAATGACTTCTGACTTGTCGATCTTGTTCATAAGGTTGTGGAGTCCACGATAAAAGTCATTTTTAACCGATGCACAGCTGCAGTTGGTTGGAGCGTAGGCAGAAACGGCAAACAAATTGCGCCTCTCTTCGCGATGTCTGTTGATTCTACATGAGTCTTGAAGCCGAACCGCACACAGCCAGTTGTCGATTGGAAACCAGTCGAGTAATGCAGCCTCCGCTTTGTCACTCAATGCGATACCGACACCAGCTAAGCCGGCTGCTGCTGCCTCCATGTCACTAGACAGACGTAGGTAATATGTGGTCTAAAGAGTAGCCGGGGACGACAACTTGACCACGGTGTTGGGCTCCTGAAATCGAGTCTCTGAAAAGCGACAAACCTCGATGGCGAGAGACTCTAGAGTGTGTGCCAGGCCGGCCTGTTGCCCAATCTGTAGGAGAGTCCGAACCTTGAATGCTGCCAGGCAGAATGAACTACGGTGTCGAAGCATAGGTGATGGCCGGACGATTTGGGTATCAGCAAGACGGGCATTGGAAGTAGATTCAACAAGTTGTGGATTATCAACAAGAGGAAAGTTGGTGTGTGATGGAGAAGCATAAGTAGTAGAGAAAGTAGCAGCAGAGGTGACTGACGTAGTAGTAATTACGAAATCCATGGTTTTCACAGAGGGCACGATACTACCCGGCTGCCCAAGTCGAAGTAGGGATCTGCTTAGTAACCCAAACGTCACCGATTCATATCGGCATAGGTGCGGGGGACCTTGCAATATCCACAGCTCTCGGTCGACTTGTAGTGGTGGCATAACAGCGAGGGGTCAGTACAACGTGCCGGTCAAACAGAGTGCGCTACGCAGAATACAACTTGGAAGGTGAGACGGACCAACGGCGCTTAGTTTAGACCTCATTGTCTTCATTTCTTGCCGCTAAATCAACTTTTGTCTCCTCCCTCGAACTTTGTGCTAGGTTACGTCTAATGGACAAAGCAGGGACCTTTTCCGGTAGACGGATGTATGTTTCACTGTTCTGGTATCTTGCTACCTCATCTGCGCAACGTCCCCACACGTCGCAAGGATGAAGTTGTTTACTCAGTTGATGGAATGCCCGCATACAGACCTCATCTCTCGAAACACATTCTAACGTCCCTCCACACCCACACGCACATTTCGAGCTCCGAATATTCTACACGATGGCTACTCATAGAGATTCTTGTTGGTGTTCCGCATCCTGACATGTGTTATTACATGATGGGCAACCAAACAAAGCTATGCTTCCCACCATTGTAAGCGGTACGGGGTTTTTCAAGGGCACATAGGAGTTAATTACAAAGATTTGAGTTCGGCGCTGAACTTGCATCTTTGATGCAAGAATCACCTTCACTTGTTTATGAATTCAGTCTGGGCAATCGAATACCATGCGCATTAAACATATTAGCAGAAAGTTTCAACTTGAATTGAAATTGATAGGCGTGTTAAGTTATGCGTTTAAACTCAGCTCTGAATATAGCAGATGTAAGGTGGCTTGCAGTTCACAACTCATTGAGCTTGTAACGAGTACCTGTCAGATCCACAATAGTCTGCTTTCTGTCATCACATTATGTTCGTGGACTGTACCAAACGAACGCGTAGGCACGACCTCAGTGCATTAGTGAATCGATATGGTGACCAAGCCATGATTGGCCGCACGAGCGGGTAACTAAACGTAGAGTGCGCTCCTTTAGCCAGTCAGTAAGTAGAACCTAATCGGACGTCAAGGCCGAATCAGAGACAATTGGATGATGACCCACGTTCCGTAGGCGGGATTGTGAGCACATTCTTGTACCCCCCCCATATTCTACCTGACTGCCCACATAACCATTCCTCCCGTAGCGACTAGACGCTTCAAGTTTTCCTGCTGTGACAAGCGCGCTCAATTCGCTTGTCCAATGACGGGATTGCATCGCATTTCGTCGGTCACAGAGTTGTTGTTTTTCAACCTCCGGAAGTGAACAGATCACTGGTTGGTTCAATAGATCTGTACGCTACTGGGCGCATCTCCAGGTTGCGAATCAAGGACTATCTTCTTTTAGAGATAACTGGGAATAATTTCTGTCTGTTCGCAGGCGAGATGAATAGGCGGTCGTGGACAATCAGCAACAGCTTCTCAGCCCTTGGGGGGTTCTGGACTGGTCACTTGGTTACTCATTAAATAACACATGGACTCATACGGCGCGGTCTGAAAGCCAAGGTGACCGGCTGTGGTGTCATTGATCCCACATTTTTATAACAAGTCCATGATCTATCTCTATGACCATCGGCTTCTACGTGGATGAAACACTAAGGTGTATAAGCCAATCGGATGTCAGGGGTCTTTGATGTCTGGCAGTGGGTTCGGTTCTCCAGGAAAATTTTTAACTTCCGTGTTACTGGAGCTCCTTAAGTACCCTGAGTAGTTTGTTTTCAATCGAAGGCCTTGTTATCCTCGCTTTGATGGCCGCTTCCCAACGGCTTGCGATGTGTGTTATTCACCCAGATACCTTGCGCGTTAGATCTTTATGGCTCGATGCTCCGGATGAAGTCCCATAAGCCAACTCACTTCCTCAGCCTGGGTAGCCGGGACCGATATTTCCACGTTACTCCGCTCTCTCTATTTGCTCTCTGGAACTACCAATCTTTGTGGAGGTGCTGGCGGCCGTATTTTTTAAACCGCGCCCTACTACACCACCGTCTACTCTATTCCACGTTTGTTTTATCCATCCATCCTTGATGACCCCCTTCCCACTTTCGGTTCCACAACATCGTGCCGCTTTGGGCGAGAGTCCTCGCTGCACTCATCAAGAGTTAAAGTCCGATAGCACACCGTCAAATCGTACTGGTAAGCCTTTCCTAGTGTTCCATTCTCAATTCCAGATGGTTATCTTCAATGTTCGGGCATTGATGCAGATCGCATGACCAGCAACCCTTGCTCGCACTCTAGAAACCACTGTCGTTGACATTTGCTGCCTCAATAAGACCCGTTTACAGTACGCCACCACGACGCTACGGCTAGTTTCACCGTCTGCAAGTTCCGCTAGCATTCTCACTTTAAGCCTATCTGGAGACTTCAGCCGTCGAAACGGCTCGCCGTGCAAGTCTGGAGATTGCGTCGAGCACACATACTGAGGCTGCGGTACTCGATTCGATCCCTGTCGACAGCCGACTCTGTGCCAATTGTTTAGGAGCCTCAATAGGGTCTTTAAGCCACGGAGCCGGAAGACGTTATTTGTTCGCTGTAGCAGTGTGTACTCTCGCGGACTGCATCTCTGACCCAGTTAAATATGGGTTCTACTCTCAACTCTCCGATTTTCGAAAAAGCTGCCACGTGCATCGTGGTGCTTATATATATATATATATATATATATATATATATATATATATATATATATATATATAAGCACCACGATATATGGTTGGCGGCATCCGGTTTCGGATTTGCCTGTCACTGTGGCAAGCCACAGGACGCCTGCGCCTACAGAGGGACCATGGGTGGCTTGCGCTGCAGCACCCACAGCTCCATCCACACACCCCATATCCAGTGTAAACCCGAAGGAATAAGACCGGGAGGCATGCGGATGGGAACCACGTTTCATCAACGGAGCCGGCCCACACTCCTTCAAGGCAAACACAAGCACACTGTATTTGGGAATCAAGCGCACACAAGGCGGTGGCTGGACCGTAGTCCGCTCCACACTGAGTGCACGGAACCACTCTTTGATCCTAACACGGCCACAAGGACCGTGCACCCCGTCCCCTCCAGCAACGACCAACTGTCTCCTGGAGCCAGTATGGACGAGGTAGTGGGTAATAGACAGGTAGGCACCTTGTCAACATGCACATCAAGCGCAGCCACACCGGGGATATCAAACAACAGCCAATCACTTGAGAGAGAGAGAGAGAGAGAGAGAGAAAGAGAGAGAGAGAAAATAACTCGATTAATGCATAAGGAAACGGTGACATAAACCTTAAGTTAATGAGCATATGAAATAAGTTGTTTACAAACGAATCCTAGATAAGTTCACGAGGTCAGAAAGTATACTTTACGGAATGCCACGAACACAAAAATGTTATGGAAATCGAATACAATTGGCTTAAGCGAGGTGTGCAAGTTAATGGAATAGAGTACAGGTAGACATTTATATGAGAAAGAAAGGCATTAGGACAAAACTGAAAACCCACCACCTGAAATAAAGAGACTTAGCATGCAAGCACGCGGTTAGTAAATCGAATGCAGCGTACCTACAAACGCTACGCCGGTTCTGCCTACGTTCTCTGCAGGACCCGTCGTCGCTTCGGTAGTGGTCCCGAGTGGCCTCGCTCATGGCTCACTAAGCCTGCCTAAGGCACTCGCGACCGCATGTTCTACAGCACCATGCGCTTGATGTCGATGGAGAACAACCCATCGGTGCTTGCCGCTTCCGCACTTGCCGCTTCTTCTCTGCATGCATGAGGCCTTTCTCCTGCACCTCGGCAACTGCCTTCGTGATCAGATCGCGCCATGCACGCCGATCAACCGCCTTCGATTCCCATGATCTGCAATCAAGATTAGAACGTGAGAGGCTCACTTTATCATGTCCTGGTAACGTAACTTTGGTTTCCCCACATGCCGCTTCCCAATACTCAGCTGACCATATAAGAGTTGTTTCGGTATCCGCGTCGAATCCATACGGCTCACATGACCGATCCACCTCAGGTGTCTCAATAAAAGTATGCAGTCCACTGCATACATCCCACTTCGGCGCAACACTTCCGTGTCTGCAACTCTGTCGCCCCAGCCGATGCGCAAAATCCGTCGCAGACACTGCTGATGGAACCGCTCGAGATATCGCACATCCCGACGGTACATCGTCTACGTTTCACTGCCGTATAGAAGAACGGACAGCACCATGGATTTGTACACCATCAGCTTCGTGCCAATGGTAAGCTGATGGTTGTTCCACACTCGGTACTCAAGCTTCCCGAATGCCGCCGCTGCCTTCGACACGCGGATACGCAGCTCACCGTGTAGCTGCTGATCAGTCGACATCACACTCCAAGGTAGCAGAAGCGGGAGGTGGTTTCTAATACTTCAGCACCAATGCTGATTCGCGGCAATATTGAAGATTGCACCTCCGGTGAAGGCTGAAAGAAACAGACAGTTTTGCTTGTGTTGATGGTGAGCCTGAATTTGGCCGCTGTCGAAGCCAGAGCACTAGTCATGTGCTGCAACTCATCCGCGCTGTGTGAAAACAGCGCACAGTCGTCAGCAAACAGCAACATACGGATAGTTGTCTCACAGACTAGAGTTCTCGCACCGAAACGACGGATGTTCAGCAACCCACCATCAATACGGTGCTCTACACGAACACCGTAAGCACAAGCGGCATCAAAAGCACAGGACAACATTGCATGAAGATATATATTAAACAGGGCAGGAGCTAAGACACAGCCTTGCTTCACACCAGTGACGACTGCAAAGTCATCCGAGGTCTCTCCACTCAGCTGCACCCTCGCTCGCATACCACTGTGCAGACATTCAATTAAACTTACAAACTTACGCGGGCAACCAAACTTACCCAACACCAGGCACAATGCCTCGCGGTTCACCGTATCAAATGCCTTGGTGAAATCAACAAAAAGCGAGTACAATGGCTGGTGTCGTTCTCTGCACTTCTCTTGCAACTGACGAGCCGCAAACACCATATCTATAGTGCTGCGACCCGAACGGAATCCGCATTGCTCTTCCGCCACGTTAGGTTCCACAACCTGACTGACGAGGCGGTTGAGCAGGATTCGGGCAATCACCTTGCCCACACAACTCAGCAAGTTGATGCCACGATAATTCGTGCAACATTGCTTGCTACCTTTGCCCTTGTACAGTGGTAGCACAAGGGCATCCTTCAGCTCAGGAGGCACCTCCTCCTCAATCCATACACGTTGCACCAAGTGGTGCAGCGCAGTCAACAACGCGGGTCCGCCGTGTTTCAATACTTCAGGCGGGATCCCGTCACCTCCGGCACATTTGCCGTTTCGCAGCTGAGCAAGTGCTCTCTGCGTCTCATCCAGTGTCGGTGTGTCCGCCAGATTCGCCTTCACATCGTGCTGCTTCAGGCCGTTCAATGTAGGCCAGTCGATCTCTGAACGGTTGTTCAAGAGACAGTCAAAGTGTTTTCGCCAGATCTGCAGTCTGTGTGCAGGTAGCGCCTGAACTACCATCGATCAGTGTCCTCAGCGGCTCCAATCTCGGTCCATACACCGCCTTCAAGGAGTCAAAGAATTCCTTGTGTTGGCGGCGTTCGGCGTAGCATTCCATCTGCTTCGCCTTCTCCGTCCACCATGCATTTTTAATGCGACGGAGCTCTCGGGTCAGTCGCTGTCGAAGTTTGCGAAACTGACTACTCTTCCCCAAGTCACTGGGGTCTGCCACATGTGCAGCAAATGCTGCATTCTTCTCCGACACCAATGCACCAATCGTCGCATTGTTGTCATCAAACCAATCAGGCCGCTTACAGTTTGCGCGCCCGATAGTCTCCTCGGCAACAGCTGTCACCTGGTCGCGAATGTGGTGCCACAGGTCGCCCACTGTGGTTATGCAGTCCACATCACCACACAGGCGTGCAGCCATCGCCTTCTCCAGCTCAGTACGTTTCGCCACAGTACCGAGGGAGAGAATGTTAAATTTACGCCGATTCACGGCGGGAGTGCAATACATAGATTTACGAAAATATATGTACAGTTTGGTCCGAACCAATTTGTGATCAGTGCCACACTCAGCTCCACGCAGTACACGTGTCATGCGCACTTCACGCATATCACGCTGACGTACGATGACATAGTCGAGCAGGTGAGCGTAACCACTCCGTGGGTGCGTCCAAGTTGCTATATCATTCGCACTCAGTGCAAACCGAGTGTTCGTGATCGTCAGGCCGTGAGTGGCACACAGTGAGAGCAGCCTGTCACCGTTCGCATTCGCTGAGCCAATGCCATGCGCACCGATAACATCTGTCCACGTTGATGCATCACGCACAACGCGCGCGTTGAAATCACCCAGCAGAAATAGTCGGTCGCTCCTCGGCACAGACCGTATCACGGAGGATAGCTCAGTGTAGAACTGATCACGCGTGTCATCAGGATAACACATGGTCGGACCGTACATGCTTATAAAGTAGCAAACTTACCTCTTCCGAGTCGTAGGCGAACAGTCATCAGTCGCGCGCTGATGCCTGTTGGTTCACCCACCAGCTGGCCATGGAGGCGGTCGGATATTGCAAATCCGACCCCATGATCACGTGGTGCTGGGGCGGCGTTGCCCACCGAGTAGAATGTGTAGCCAACACCTGCTTCATGCAACTTACCTTGCTCAGCGAGCCGGGTTTCACTGAGCGCCGCAATATCGATGTTGTAGCGCGCCAGCTCCATCGTGACGAGTGCAGTGCGTCGCTCCGGGCGCTCGCTGGAGTTCCGGTCCAGTAGTGTGCGCACGTTCCAGCATCAGATGCTGAGTGCTTTACGCGCAGGCAGACGATTGCATTTGTGGGCAATCGCACGCGAGGTGGTCGTTGTGCTTCGGAGGTTTGCTTGAGGGACTCCACCCGCAGCCTTTGGCTCAATAGCCTGACCCACAAGGCAGTGGGTGGTTTGGATGTTTGCTTGAGGGACTCCGCCCGGAGCCTTTGGCTCAATAGCCTGACCCACAAGGCAGTGGGGTGCAGATCCAGCTCGGGAATGTGATTGCAGAGACAGATAGGGATCTGCTTGACGGTCGTCATACGCAGCCTTTGAGGTTCTGGAACAATTATCATATGTTTTGCGACCGTAGTAGGATACACCTGCGACCACGGCCAGACGCAGGTGGGTTTTTGGCGGGTTTGCACCAATTTGACCAGGGGCTGCCTGGCTTGAGGCGTGCAGTAGCAAACCACTGAACACCCTGAGGTGTCCTCCCACCGTCAGAGACAATGCGTGGCACTCGTGCTCTACGCCAATCGAGCTGTGAGCTTATAACCCGTACACGTCTTGTCTCCCATGGCTAGGTTTTACGGGATTACGGCCATCGACCACTTCCTAACCTCCGGAGAGGATGGACTAGGATACTGCCAGGGCGCCCACTCCTGACAGGAGAACGACTCGAGTCCTCAGCCAAAGCCTTCGATTAAATGAACACCCGAAAGGCAGCGGGTCTAGCACATGGTCAGTTCACTGACTCATGCGGATTGGTGTCCTGGATCTTAGCAGAGAGAAGGGCGAAACCAAACTCCCACCCAGCGGTCGCCACGAGGAGGCGCCCAGGACATGAGCAAATGGCACAACAGTAGCAGCAGTCGGTAGACCATCTGTCAGGATCTAGCCACCACCAGCCTCAGCGCACCATAGGCTCCCGCGATATATATATATATATATATATATATATATATATATATATATATATATATATATATATATATTAAACACTATAACAGTTGCAATATAGTTGGCTAAGTGCCACAACACATAAGAAAAATGTATAGCATGAAAGGAAAAACAACTGTTAGGGTAGAAGAGTCTCATAGCAAGTGCACCATTGTGTACGGTCCTTGGCCATATCATCCGGCGTTTGCAACTAGGTCTTCTCTAGGTCCTTTAGGCCCCAACCCGGGAGTCGGGAACGCCTGACAACAGCTAGCTTCGACATTTGCGCCTTAACGCATTGGATTCAAGTTTTACATTGCCTTCCTTTCCAAGCGACGCCTGTGCTCGCAAATAGGCCTCGTCTTGGTAGCCGCTGGGTAGGCATACGAAGCACATGGCCAAGCCAGCGAAGTCTCCGCAGTGAGATAATGTTATCAATCGATTGATGGAGTTCGTTAGATCTGAATACGTGCCGACGGATTTCTTCATTACTGATGTGATGCTACCATCGCACACCAGCAATGCTTCGCAGGCAGCGGTGATCGAAGACAGGTAGCCGCTGAACATCTCTTTTGCGAACGGGCCATGTCTCACAGCCGGCGGCGCCACAAGTGCGTCAGCTTAGAGAAAGCGAGGCGACCTCTTGAGATACGCATCGAAATCTCGTCTCCAACAGATCCACCGGCTGTGTTGCAACTTCCCCAGGTAGGCAAAACTCTCCGTAACCTCCAGTGTCTCACCATCATGAGTGAGTGCAGGTACGGACACCTGAAAGTCTTGGAAAGAGCTTTGCACTTAAATGGGGAAAAGGCCATCTATACTTTGACGCTTCAATCGCCAAGCGGTTGAGTACAAGTTGGGCGGTCTGTGGACCGTCACCCAGCAAGACGATATCATCAGCGTAGTCCAAGACAACGACTCGGCTACTTTAAGGGGAGCTCAACGCCAACACTCAACGAATCATCCAGAGCATTCATCAGGATATCCGCAATGACAAAATTGAAAATGAATGGGGAGATAGGACATCCTTGTCGAACTCCACTGGTGACAACAAACGAAGGCGAAAGCTTACCATAAGCCCTAACTCTACCCGAGGTCAGACTATACGGAGGACGCAGTAGGGAAACGAACTTCCTGGGAATGCTATTTCTCAACAGACAGTGCCACAATGCAGCCCTGTTAACAGAATCGAAGGCATCACGAATATCCAGGATCACAACAATCGTTGACTTTTGATATACATAGCGGAGCTCGAGGATCTGGTGGAGTGTGAAGATTTAATCGATGCAACTCGATTGCAACTGTGGTTGTATTTGCTTTTATGACACATCGTGTCAATTGACATGGCTTACAAGTTTCACTAGAATGAACTCGTTTCAGATGTCGTTACTTGTCTTTTTGCTAACTTCTCATTGTCTTCTGTTTTGATGTCACCTCGCTTGTCTCCTCCCGTAATTATCTACCTCAGTCTTGGCAGTCGTATCCACCTGAATTCGGAGTTCGGATAATGAATGTTTACTCCAATTGAACCGAGTCACTCGCGATTTATCTCCATTGTATGGTGAACCATAAAAGCTTGAAATAAATAGTCCAAAATCTTCTAGCCTTCCCTCACTTATAATGCTGCATTTCATGCACCAAGTGGTGACTCGACTCCGTTCTTTGGATTTGTTCCCCCCCCTTCCTACAGGATTGCTTTGGTCACCTTTTCTCCGATGAGGATGAGGATGAAGAAGATGACGCAGGCGACGAGGATGAGGACGGTAGCGGACCCTGCATCATTCCACAGACCGCAAGCCTATTGCACAGTCGCTTGACTCATTCAGGTAGGACCAGTGCAACGCTCTTAAGTCGGGCGATTGTGCTCTTTTTGAAAAGTCACCGAGGCCACCACGTCTCTTCTCATCTCTCCTTCTCCTATCTTTCAGATGAACGTGATGAAAATGACGATGATGATGACAGGGACGCGGATGCGAACGAGCGGCCACACCACGAATCCGACCTGACTCGGCAGTCTTCTAGATCAAGTATTCTGGCTGCTGACCCTTCAGCAGCTGTTATCGAAGCGGATGCGGAGAGCGGTTACGGTGCTTCCTGTTCCTCATCTTCTGTACGGCTCTGTCGTTCCAGCCTGAAGCGGGACAAGCGTCGGAGCAAACGGCGTCTGCAACGACGAGGTGCTTCAATCCGAACGGATTCTGTAAACCCAAGCCTATCTCCCACTCTGGCCGAACCTTCTTGGGCTTTGTCTCAACCCCAGCTTTTATTTGATCCCCATGAAGGTTTTCTTTCGATGGGGCTAGATCATACTTGTCCCAACGGTGGTATCCATCGATCAAGCACCAATCGCGCTGGCACTTCACGTCACAAACGGAACAGGGTTCGCATCTTGGACGAGAGTGGTCCATCGGTCCGAACGGAACAGCCCATGCAATCAGCCCTAGATATTATAGCCCCATCCAAACCCTTTTCTTCTGGTTCATTCCACACTTGTAGCGAGGACTACCGACTGATGGGCGAATGTCCAACTCGTCAGCCACGTCCTGAACCGAACATCACTTACCCCACTTCTAGCGTTGTTTCTTCGCTTGCTCGAGGTCCTATCCATCCATGTGCTGCAGACCAAACGTCAGGCTCATCAGCGCCACAGGCACAGTACTATCCACCTTCATTACGTGACGGGTTCGGGTCACATGCAGCGATTGCCACCGAACTTGATGAAAGCTGCTCTCCTGTTCCGGATGCACCGGCTCCCCCTGGACTGGCTCCCGGCGCTTCTATGCCTCCACCGGCTGATGCGGTGCCCAGTGCGTCCATACTTGTCTCAACCACTACACAATCTGCTTATTCTTCTGCGCTCGCCACATGCACATCTTCCTTATTGTTTCCTAATCGTTTCGCCTCTTCCACCCTGCCGTTTGATGCGTGTACAAATTTGGCGGTATCAGGATATCACACCAACCAATCGGAGTTCGTAGCAGGAGGTGTGTGCGAGCTTTCTTCCGGTCTTCATTTCCTCCATAACTCCGGTTGTCCTGCTTGCGATGCTTACCCTCCGGACTCGGCACCCTGTTTCGTGACGGAAAGTGGGGCCTGCGCTAACACGCCACCACCGAATAGCATTTCAGACGCCCTGTCCTCATCGAATTCACCTCCTCCTCTTCTCCCTCCATCTGCCGATCGGAGTTCCGCTTTCAGTCCAGCATTTTCCCGCACTGTTGGCACCAGTCCACTTGGCCCTGATTGCAGGCAATCAGGAACTGATCGACGCCCCCATCCCTGTCTCTGTGTTGCCTACCTTCATTCCGGGCACCGCCCACATCTCTGTGATCAAAATGCTCACATCTGTGTCAAAGGTCACTATGAGCATCTATTTCGGAATGATATGTGCCAGTCCAATCATCCATCCTATCACCAATACGCCTGTCCAGTGCATTCAAATCGCCTTGTTTCATCCGGTGACACGGTGCTCTCAGAATTGCCGAGTCACACACAACATCTGTCGGAACCAATGGACCAAATTCGTTACGGTGGAGTTCATCTCCGTTCCAATCTCTATCGTGATTCGTTTATCGGTCTTCGTTGCCGAAGTCAGGCAGAATCTCCGCCACCCCCTGCGCCTATCTCCTGCCATCGGGTAAAGTCGCAGTCGGACCCGCACAGTTCCGTTGTCCGATCGCATCGCTCTCTTGATGGCGCACGAAGCCAGTCAGCCATGGAACAGCGGCGCTATTCAGCTCCGGTGGAGCCTTACTATGAAGTTAACTTGGCCTCTCCACTCGAGTGAGTTCTAACATTTGTTTCCTTAATATCTGCCTTCGGAATCGCGGATCGATGACCACTGCCCGATAGTTCATCTGAGGTAGGGGAAGTCTGAGACAATTAACTGCACATTTGTGATCCTCTCGTCCTATTACCCAAAAATTGATGGTCAGTCGTTGAGGGCAAGTTTCCTTACCTCAATAGTTTTCTGTTCCCTCTATAGAGATTTTTCTGTTGACTCTTACTTTTGATCTTCCCTATCAATTTTCCTTCGAACTCTACTAAATCTCAGAGTCGTTCATTACCATTCACAGTAGTACATCAGCCATTCGAACTGGTGCTTCGTTGCCGTACAATCACAATGACCTATGGAACGAAGAATACTAAGTGGAAGGGAAGGGGGACCTAGCAGGGACCTTTAATGCACTTAATCAACGTTCAAGGTCAATGCGCCTACGCTTTGTGTTAATAGCATACCGTCAAAAACAGCTGGCTATGGTGCAAAGATAACTCGGCACTAGCAATACAGCCTCTTTACGGCTTTCACTGCCTTGCACTATAATCAGCCATTACCTCGCAGATAACTTAGCACTAAACACTTTAAACAGGCAGTCCGATTAAGAGACGACAGTAAACATGCCACTGGTGTCGGTTGCGAGCCATGTCCTGTAAAGTCTCGAGCCAAGCACAAGGCGAGTCACGTGGATTCCAGGCCGGAAGGCGAGACAGACCAACGGCACCCAGTTTGGTCGTCAGTGACTTAATTTCCCGCTGCCAAGTCAACTTCTGTCCACCTCGAGCCTTGCGCCATCCTACACCTGGTAGACTGAACAAGACCCTCCTAAGTAAGCGGTGACCAGGCATACGTAGCACGTGCCCGAACCAACGCAGCTTATCCAGTGCTATCTGTTGTTCTAGGGATCTAGCGTGATTATCACCACCTAGTGCTCGCCTACGCACATCATTGTTGCGAACACGCTGGTGCCATCCGACTCCAGCAATGCTTCGCAGACAACGGTGATCAAAGACTGGAAGGTGCCTCAGGTCTTCGGACCGAAGGGGCCTAGTTTCACTCCCATAGAGCAGAACGGCCCTCACTGTGGCCTTGTATACGCGGTCTTTCCGACGGAGGGAAACCCTTTTCTGTCGCCCAAGATACCGTAGATTCAAGAAGGCAGTTCTGGCTTTTGCATTACTCGAACTTACTTCAATGGTTATGCGCCCATCCTTACTGATGCAGTTGTCAAGGTAACTGAACTGATTAACTATCTCGAGTCCCTCGCTATCAAGGTCAGGGGGTCGTCAACTGACTGACGGTCCTGCAACAACACCTTGCACTTTGGAGATGCGAAGCACATACCATATGATGGGACCACTCTAGAGAGGTTATTCAGGGTTAACAAGACAAGGCAATATAGTCCGCATAATCAAGATCGACAAATTTTTCACCGGGCATCACAGAATGGGAAAATTGGACAACCTTGACAAATGTTGCTTGTTTTCGGTATCCGACAAGTCACACTAGACCCTAACACCTTCTGTAATCTTCGAGCATCAAAAACTTAAATTGTCCACCTATTTCATGGGAGCATCTTTTCGTGCAAGTACTTCGAACCGAGTCGAACGCAATCTTGAAGTCGAGGAACACAGCTACTGCCTGTCTGCTGTAATTGTGACGCTTTGCTAACGTCTGCTCAGGCTGAATATGTGGTCTGTACTGCCCTGTCCTTGGCGATAGCCAGCATCTCTTCCCTTATCTGGGATTCATGTCTCGCAGTGAATCGACGAACAAGAATTGAGGCTACTACCTTTGCCACCACCGGCTTTGAACGAATACCCTTGTTCGCACAATCGGTGTGGCTCCTCTTCAAACAGTTGGGACTGAGCTTTGTAGATTATCTCACCACCAACCTTTAACAGTATAGATGCGAAGCCTGTGATCTCGTTTCGGACCTCAGCCTCCGATGGAGCTTCCCTTCAACAAGCTGATTTTGTTGCGCCAGTTAAGATGGCTCGGACACGTCCTGCGCATGTCGACTGAGCATTTACCCCACTGCGCCCTTTTCGCTCGTTCAAGACTTGGCTGGAAGAGACTCCGTGGCGTTCAGCCGTCCACTTGGCGGCAGCGTATGAAATCGTTGACTTCACGTCTTGCCACCGTTCGATCCACACGTATACCAGTTCGGGGACCGAAGGACGAGGAATGCCTATGGCTGGAAACAATTCAGGATATGGCGCACAATCTAAATCATTGGGAGATCTGTGTACATAATTTTTTAGATTTAGGTGCTTAGTGCTGAACGGTTGAAAAAGACAAAAATGGCCCGTTTTTTCTTCTTTTATTGCGGCACAATAGCTGAAGTGTGTTGCTCACTTTCAGCTAATGTGCCATGATGATGATACGTTGAATAAACCAGTCTTCTAATGCTTTCCATGCTTTTGTTTGACTCTATGTCTATTCAGTAGACTGATGCTTATACCACTGTGTTCAAAAAGGAAGCGAACTTTTCAGATAGCGAACCAACCGACTGGGGTAGCGCGCTGCGGCTACTTCGCGCACATGTAAAGTTATGTTTCGACAACAAAATGCCATTTGCCGCGTTTCACTCTGATTGTTAGTTTGCGATCTACAGCCACTGAAGTGTGATCCCTTGCACAAGCGGCTCATCGGTTTGGTGTCAATGTAACAATGAAAGATCTTGAGGAACATTGTGTGTGTGTGGATTTTTGCTACTAACTTGTTAAAACATTTTCAGACATTTCAATTGAGCCGCCGATCATACGAGGAGGACATCATAGTCTCCCTCAGTGCTATGAGTAGCTTAAGCATCTTGAACCGCGATAGGATATTAGCCAGTGAGGACCCCAAGCTTGGATGACATTTCACATCAATAGACGAAGACCATACCCCGAGTGGGTTCATGTGTGACCCGTAGAAATCGTCGTCTAACTGTTCGGAAAGTTGCTGTCAAAGTGTGGATATTAGCTAGGATCATGCCATCATCCACTTTTGGGTGACAAACTTGATGTGTATCGCGTATCGGTGCGGACTTGATTGTTGCATCATGACAGTGCGCCGCCGGCTCACGGATCGGTCATTATCCACAGGTCTCTAGCAAAACATCAAGTCCCCACTCTGCTCCATCTTTCGTATCATCTGGACCTAGCCCCAGCAGACCTATTCCTGTTTCCTTCCCTTGAAATCACGCTGAAAGATCGTTTCCAAAACACAGAGGAGATTAAGGACAATGCGACAAAAGACCTGTCTGCCATCCCAGGAAAGATGTTCCAAGCAACTTTCCAGAAATGGAAGCACGGTTGTTAAAGACCCATCACCAATAAAGAAAGCTACTTTGTATGGGATAGTGTTTAAAATGTTGAACAGTGAGAAATGTTATAGCAAAAGTTCGCTTCCTTTTTGAACACGGTAGTGCTACTACTACTACTACTAATCTGATGGAGCCTCTTAACTAATCGGCCATGGCTCAGCCTGCATTGCCTGAATAGGAGGGGATGCGGGACCAGGATCCCAATTTAACTGCTCTAGGAAGTAGTTCTTCTCTCCACGAACTGTCGTTTTCAACTAGTCTCTCGCACTACGACTGTACCAACGGAGATTTTGCCCCTTAAGAACACCGCTAGGCACTAGGTGGAACAACTTTTTGAATTGATAGCTTGTGAACTTCCAGCCACTCTCCTATGCTCACTGTTTCATTTTCTGGAATTTTTCTCGGCTTATTTGTTTTTCGGGTGTTGTGTAGATGTTGGCATTTTACCACGAATCCGCGCCAGCTGTGTGGCTGTTCTGAGCTGCCGTGTCTTATCGTCTTTCTGATTATCTTGGTTACTTCGCACTTAGGCCACTGAGCCTAGAGTATCCTTCTTTATTGTGACCTCATTGTTTTGAACCATACGCCCACCTGTCTTATCTTTGTTTGCAACTGACTTAAGTATACTTTGTGTTGCAAGTGCTGTGGCCTTTCCACCACTACAGATGTGTCTCACCGTAAGGTTCTTCGATGCGGTGTGCCCCTGTGGCTTGACATTTGTCCCGACGATGCTGCCGCTGCTGTTCTCGCACCCCCACCCCCACAACTGTAGTCATTATTGTCATTTTTCTAACCACCTATGTGTCTTAAGCCTATCGGTAACCTGACACTCTTAGTTGGCCTTACACGAAGACATCGTCTAGCGTTCAGTGTTGTCCTTAGTTCACCTACTGGGTCAAGTAGAATGAATCATTTTAATGGCGTACTCGTGAAGTGATTCCATTGCACATCGATCGCGACGGCCTTTGGATTCGCCTTGACGTTTACGACGCTAAGGCAACCATTTCTATTTATCAGGTTTGAGACAACCTCAGGTTGAATCTATACCGTCGGTATACTCAATGTATGTTTGCACGTGGGGTCTGTAGAAAGATGATTAATAGTCATGTATATTTTTCGTGGTACCGAGCAATCATGCTCACAAAGGGACGGATCGTATTTCCATGTGCAACGTGCTTTCGCATGCAGCGTTGGCATTTATGCAGAGATACAATAAAGACATTTTGGTAAAAATCTTTCTTAGGATTTTCACTGTCGTTTTCTACCAGCGCACGGGCGTCCTCACTTGTTCGGTTCCGTCGCAGATCGGGGGTACTATGATGACGGTGGATTCATGAAAGGGGAAGGAACAATTGGAGTCGTCAACCAAAATCAGACGGGCAATACACGGTTGTACATAATAATAATACTACCTATATTTCTTTTGATGTGAGAAACTGTATCAGCACTGATCAATTTGGACAGAAGTACCCATGTTTTTGCATGAGTGATATGCATAGGTGGAATATTCTGGTATGCGTTTCATGTAGTAATGTTAAGGTATTTGGCTGAGGCAAAAGCCTAGTTTTGAAAACATCGATGTTTTGATGTTTTTTGGCCCCTCTTGTAATAGGTCCTCGATGGACTTTCCCATGTGAGTATAGTGATTATGGTAGGTTAGATCAAGGTAACTGGAGAGTCTGTCACCTTTCC